TTATTCGAAATCTGTGGAATTCGAAAACGTTGTTCTGATTATTTACAATCATTTTTGTCTGTTTGGGTGCTGTTGAATTTAGGGTGGATTTGGAAGGTGTTTTCGCTGAGCGTGTGATGGACAAATTAAATGATCGCATTCGACTGAAATTCACTGGATAATTGTCTCAAAATTCGATGGACTTGTCGTTGATGTATTATACTACGTGACACGAACGCCTAAAGAACAGCTTTATTTTGAGTGTTATAATCTCAAATTGAGATTAGAGAAAAATTTCAATTCTATCCATTGAAAAATTACTGAGGTTGACTGAAACCGGGACATTCACTGTAATTTTGAATCTACTTACATTCTCTTTGTTTCCCTTAAATAGTTCATTCTGAATTACGTATTCACTATCGTAACTTGTTTCGCCTGCCTGCTTCAATACACCGTTCACTGAACTGCGATTAAATTCTGGTTGAGGGGGTTTTGAGTGATAGAGGAGTGTGGGAATCTTGTCGAACGAGTCCTCTCTGGAGTTGTCACCCAAAGTGTTTGCGAAATACAAGCGCTAATATAGTTTAGAAGGAAGTATCCTTCGTGTAACAGAGTGACGAGTTTCTGCTAGCCAGCAACGCGGCTGTCCTTTGGCAGCGCAATTTAAAGTGAGTTGAAATGTTGCAGACGTACTAGAAAGAATGACCATTTGATCCTATGATCCTTTGACCGAATCAATCAGTGAATTCGAAGAATGTCAATAATAATCAAAGCGAATGGACTTGGGAAAATCGGGAAGTGAAGCTTCCATACCGAATCAGTTTAGATTTTCCGGTTGAAATTTCTGGTCGACTTCCTTCAAATTTGATAAAGTGAAAGTTGCACTGAAATTTCCGGGCATTTTTTCATTGAAAATTCAGAATTTCATGAAATCATTGATGAGAGATTTAGATTTCAAAAAAATTATTTCATGAAAATGTGTAAAAAGTAGAAAAATTCATGTAAATGTTCTTTGAAATTGTCTAATTTAGTACTGAATATTCACGTTGTGACGAGAAAATCAAGTGAGTTGGAGAATTCTAGTTCTTTTGCTGCCATTGAACCATTTTCTCTGCCCTAAATCGAATTCAATGTCAATAAATCAGCCAGACAATCATTGTTAGTGGTCATACCATTTATAATTTAATTATTCCATGAAAATGAATAGAAATTACGAAAATTCAGGTGAGAATATTCTTGTATTTGCGTGATTTGGTACTAAATATTCATGTTTTTATTTGAAATTCTAGCAAGTTGGGGGATTCTCGTTCTTCTGCTCCTCAAAATAGGGAATTTCATTGAAATTTTAATTAATTTTGCAACTTCATTATTTTTCCCGCCCTGAATTACTACCAAATTGTTCAAGAAACAGTGGCAAACTGTTTTGGTCTTCAGCAAATTCCACGTTTCTCAATAATTCCTAATTCAATGTAATATATAAACCAGAACACCATTGTTAGTGCCCATTCCATTTATAATTCAAGTATTCCATGAAAACGAATAGAAATCATGAAAATTCAGGTCAGAATATTCTTCAATTTGCGTAATTTAATACTAAATATTCATGTTTTTATTTAAAATTCTAGTAAGTTGGGGATCCTCGTTCTTCTGCTACTCAAAAATTTGAATTCAATTGAATTCTCAGTGAGTTTTTGAATTTCATTATTACACGCATTTTAAAATTCAATAGAAAATCGTAGAAAATTCCCTAGACATTTCTATTAGATTTCTATTAAACTTTCTATTAGTTTTTGGCCGATACGATTGAAATGTTCAATAGAAAATATTCTAGAGAAAAAATCAATGGAATTCGATTTTTCTATACAACTTACTCTATGAACATATTTTTTATGGAATTTCCTCGGCTCACATTTTCCAAGTTTTTTTCATTCTATTGTTCTTTTCTTCTCATCACGAAAATCAAACAAGTAAACTTTGAAATTTCAAGCTGAAGAAATTTCGTAGATTATTTTTCTCACTCGGATTTCAGCCAATCAGAGCGCAGTATTCGAGGCTGTCAAACAGTTTTATTTCGGAAATTTCTAAAAAATTTCCGACGGAAATTCACTAGTAGCTTTTCAAATGTTTCTCATCTTTCAACGCATTTCACGTTTAATATTCTGTGTGACAGATAAACAAAAAAGTGGGTTGTAAATGTCTGGCTGTGTAAATGTATCCGGATGCCGTTCACTGCACTCTGCTTGGCCGAAATCCGAGTGGAAAAATAACCCGTCAAATTCCACTCGTGCTTCAAAATTAATCGGATGTTTTGAAGCACTAGTAGTATTACTACTGATAATACCTCAATATAATGAGTCTTATAGAATAATTTCTATTAAACATTTCAATAGAATTCGCCAAAAACGAATAGAAAGTTAAATAGAAATCCAGTAGAATTGTCTAGCGAATTCGCTAGGGTTTCCTCTTAAATGTTTTCGTACATGTTTTTTCACTCTAAAAATCGCATTCAATGGGTCGGTCCTGAAAACTGGTACTAAAATGTCCATAAATGAGAATGAAACTGTTTTAGTCTTCAGCAAATTTCGCGGTTCCATTGGTTTCGTACCGAAAATTATGGTAACCAAGTTTTGGCGGAGATCAGATGGTTGCAGTCTGACTATAACTGATTTGGTGCCACTAAACGTCGAGACCAGACATCCTCAATGTGATATACAAGCCGGAGAGCCATTGTCAGTGCCAATTCCATTTTCCGGGAGTTTTCACGTTCGTCAGATACTTTTCCTTCGAAGCACATTTGTTCATGTCGAGTAAAAAATAGGTTGGACTTCAGTATTCAATAATTTTAAGTAACGAATTATTTGATTGAATAACTCTGCTCAACACACTGAGAAAAATTTTTTTTAATATGTAGATCATCCATATTTACTTGATTGAAGTAAATTAAAATTTTTTTCTTCTCGTATATACGTTTCGGGTCTTTACGATTTGTTCCCTTCCCACCCCCCTCAACCCCCTGTACCGCATTTGCCGAAGGGAGGGGAAACCTCATTCGAGGGAAAAACCTGCCCTGGTACAGTCGTCCTTTTGACGGGACTACCGCTCGGCAGTGAAACTGTGAGATTAGAGCGCTATAAATTTTGACCGCCGGTGCCGGGAAGCGAACCCGGATCATTGGCATACGAGTCTAGCACTCTAACCGCACGGCCACTACCGTCGGTATTGAAGTAAATTATTTTCAATAGTTTAAATCTCAGAATGTCTGCGTATTATATAATGAATATATTACATATCGAAATATTGTGACTGCATAACAAAAAAATTAGGAAAACAATAAAAACTTGAAGATTGACGATTTTTCTACGCGATTTGAGTGCACTGAGAAAAAAAATTACTTTTGCCAAGTATATTTACAAAATACAAGACAATTTACACATGTCTTATGCAAATATTTATATACGTTTACTTGTAACAAGTAAATATACTTGGCAAACGTAATTTTTTTTCTCAGTGTGGGTTCATCTGCGACAAAGTCATACTTGACTACAAGAATATTTTAAAACATGAGACCTTTCTCGGGCAACGTGAGTTGAGATGCCTGGGAAAATTAAAGAATTGAAGAAAAATTACTTGTCTCAAGAAAATATGCGTCAGATATTAGAATTTTTTTCTCATTGCAATTAATCAATGTTTTCACTAATTTCTCCTCAACAAATGTCTTTATCCATTAAATTCGTCTCTGCAAGACTACTCCCGCTCAGATAACATCAACAACTGTATACACTTCAGAAACAGTTTGCTAATTCACCCGTAAAATAACAATGCAAAATGAATGTTATGCAATTATCTACTTGTTTATTTACATTACGGAGCGCTTGTTGATTTAGATTGAATCGCTTTGGAGATTATTCGTGTGGGTTTCTGACTCACTCGCTGTTCAATACGCAACAATTTCTACACTGACGATCAGAAAATTATCATCTAAAATTTAATGATAATCTTGAGCTTTAATAAGTTGTCCAATTACGGTATTTCTTTATACAGATTTTTCTGGAATTTTCAAGACTAATCTCAGTTCGATAGTACAAACGGTTGCCAAGATCGGCGATTGTCGGAAATTTGTCAATAATAAATCAGAAATTCATTGAATCGAAATTTAGTTTGCACCATTCGAGAAAGAAATAAATACCGCATGTTGGGTAAAAATTTCAGAATTTTTGATGAAAATTAGCTCGATAAACGAGAGGTTTGAATATACATCTGACATCGAATTCAGTTTCGTATTGTTTACGTATTGAAGAAAAATATTGAAAATAACTTGAATTTTAAAAAAATCGAGTCGCATTATGTTGATAATTTTATCTATTTCATGGAGAAATTTGTATAATTTCGATATCTACAATAGTACGAGAGATAATGAATTTTTAGCAATCATGGAAAAGGTCTATATGACATATAGACAGCGGCCAATAGAACAATAAGCTCGCGGGTCTATACATGCCGGATTAAACGTGCCGTAATGCACCATTATATTTATTAAAATCCGGCATCCAGTTTCATTGTTTCTATTTTCCAACTCAATATCCAAAAATTTACCCGGACTAAATTTAAAAAATAATATCTCCATTCGGGAATCGTAAACCAAGAGAGGATATTTCATGTAAATATTCAGCACCGATGAAAATTCTGCGGACAAACTGCAACAGAGCAATATTAACTTTTATTTTTTTATTTGGAGTTCAATTTTTTTCATGAAAAACCATTCAGTTTGATTTCCATTCGATTTTATAGATTCGGGGGTCCTGATAAGGGGAAATGACAAGTGTCGGAGCGATTGATGGAACGAATAACACGGACAAAGCGCTAATAAAAACTGTGAGATTTTGTGAATGAAGGAGTGATTAGAGAGACAGCTTGGTGGCAATGGGGAGTGATCAGTGGTACCCGGGGGAAACCGGGTGAAGAATTACGTGAAGACAATCAGTGATACCCACGTAAAAGGTTCTCGTCTAAAGGGGACAGCGATGTCTTCCGTCGAGGATGTATTCGTTAATGACACTGATGGGAACTTTACCCCGTTACAAAATGAGTACATTGATCTCTTCAATGTCGCTAACGACTCGATGGATCCAATCACCAGTGATTCGTCGAATCAATCATTGGGAGAGGTCAACGCCACTGACATCGATCCATTCTACTTTTACGAGGTGAGTTTTGGATTTTTTTTTCGTAACTTGCATTTATTTTGGAGGGGACAGCTGTCGGATGCATTCAACATGCACTTGGATGTAATGCGATGTAATGTTATGGGGATGGGGAGGAAAATCCAGGGAAAAATAATGATAAATGTGGGTAAAGGATAGATTGGAGGTTTTCACGTCTCAGCTTGAAATCAAAATTGAATTTAAGATTTTGGCTTTTATAAGCCTCAATTTGAGATCGTACGTCTCAAATTGAAATTTGGTTTTCGAAACAGATTCGAAAAAAATGATATTTTTCCAAAAATTGATTTCACTCAACCAATTTGTGATCAAAATTGAATTAGTCATGGCTCAAAAAATTGGTGAATTGATCAATGCCCTCTCGATTCCATCAGAATATGATGAGTGTCGCACAATTCGTTGTTGAGTTACAGCACATTGTTTATGCGATTCAAAAGAGAAAATCGGTTTCTTCATGATTACTGAAAGAATCATCAGTAATAGCAATTAAATCAGGACTTAAAAAGTATATTTCAATGCCTTCTTAATCAAGTTGAAAAATGGTGACAACAGCGTCATTACTTGTCAAGTCACACAACACCCTCATGATCTTTTTCAATCAAAATCTCTATTGAACTTGGATTAAACCCGGACTGAAAACGAATTCGAGACAGAACTTAATAATCCGGAAAATTCCGATGAAATTTCAACTGATGAAAATAGAATAGAATAGTGAAATGAGGATTTAAAAAAAGGGAACTCATTCGGAAGCAAATTTCTAATTTATTAGCAACAATAGCTATACTCATTTATAGAAAATGGCACAGTCCACTTGTTTCTCTGGTGCCACTAAACTGCCTATGACATTTCACTTTTTTAAACAATGTACGTCATATCGACAAGTCATTTAATACTCAACTAGATCTCGAGGCAATAATTATATACAATTATATAATCATAAATGACCAATTTTCTTCGGTGATACATTGCTTCCGCATTTTTCTTATCAACTGTATATTTTTGGAGGTATGAACATTGAAAACCGGCCCACCTGGCGTGCTTCTAAAATTTCTAATTGAAAGATCTTGATCGGCAGAAAAAAACAAATTACCGCTCTCACTTATATAGCATCGCAACTTCGTCCGGTCCCCTCAATATATTGATTTTTCTGGAAAGATCTAAAACTATACATTTTCGAGCGATTAAAATAGTATCGGAGGCATTCTGTACATCGATGATCATCTATTGTGAGAGCCCGGAAATTCGACCCGAGAAATTGCTGCGAATTTCTCGGCAGAGGTCGCATTCTATTGATTGCATTTCCCATCCGTGTGTGAAGGAATTGTGGGTGACAATGGAAAAAAAGCGTAAGCTGAAATTGGATTATCTGGAGAAGGAAAAGGAGAAAGATTTCAGAGATGAACAGTGATCGCCGGCTGAATTTACGATCAGTAGACAGTTTTCTCGAGACCTGTGCCTCAATAAAAGTTCATGGTTACTTACTGGAATAGCTTGTTTTGGGATTGAAGAGACGCTACTTTGAAATATGGAAAGTTACGGCAGTTCTGTTACCTACAATTTACTTTGGAGCAGTAGCTTGTGTCAGCCAGCTCAACCGCAACTTTGTCAACAAACATAATGACTGGGGCTAATGGTCTATTCGAGGATTTGGTTCTGATTGGACGTACACAGGTCTTTCAAGATCTCTCCAGACCTAGATGGACCTGGTAAGTCCTAATCAGTTCTGCGACGTACTTTTCCAGAGACCTTTCGAATCCTCAGTTCTTTTCGGTCCTGAGAAGTCCTCCTCGATGCTACCGAGAACGCGTGATTTTACGAGCGGGTGAAGGGGAAGGCATGTATGCGGAGGGTTGAAATTTGTAGCCAACGAGGAGACAGGGTTGCAGAATATATTTTAGCCACCCTCATCTCCCCGTTTGCAGGCGGTGTTTAAATAAAAAATAGTGAACGTTGATTCTGTATTTATTGACCCCCTGATGTCAATGAAACCCTCGGAGGTGACAGAAAAGGGGGAAAAAAAATTTTCATTTTCATGTGGGTCAAGGGAGAAAGTCGATTTTCGCCAAAATTGAATTTTTTCGCCAAGTGAAAGTTGATTCTGTATTTTCTAACAATTCTGATGCCAATGAAACCCCCGAGGCGCGACAAAAAGTCGAAATAAA